GGTTTTATTTGTACACGGAGACCAACGGTTGCTTGTATTTGTTCACAGAACAAAAAGTGTTTTTTTTTCCTAGAGGCAAAAAAAACTGTATTTGCACTGTACTTGTCACATAACATCCTGTGATAACACAATCAGAGAGAGATTAAATCATTAAATACTATTAAGCACTCGTTTCTCCTGTCATTCTTCTCGAGATGTGAGTCCACAATTTGTGCTCTTGTTTAATCAGCATATTGATTATACAAAATCTGCTTATCAATGGGATACATCACAAAATAATTTTGGGCCGAAAAATTAAGCCATTTAAATGTAACCAAAAAACTATTTTTCCTTAAAGCTGAAGTGTTTAATTTCTGCACACAGCATCACTAAATGGAACTACAGAAGTAATAACTGTTAAATCAGATTAAACAGATTGCCTTGCCCCAAACTCATATCACTGCAAAAATAAACAAATTAAAATAAAAATTACCTCAATTGCTGAAAATAAATAAATAAAAATCAGTCCACATTTTCAGTATTTTAATGTTGTTTTCCAATAAAAATAGATAATCATCCCTTAAACAATACACTTTTTAGATTAATATTATATGTTCATTTACTTTTTTTTTTCTTCTCGCATTCTTGTCTTTGTTTTAAGCATAAACTTCACTAAATATAGGTAGGTTTATACTTAAAACAATAAAACTACAATTTAAAAATTAGGCAATAAAAATAAACTTAATTCAAGATATAATGTCTGAAAACAAGTCTTAATATCAGATATGATTCTCAGTTTTATTCGATTATATTTGATTTGCTTGAAATTCTTATTTGAAGAATATTTAGATATTTTGCAATACAATAAAAAAAGTGCCTATTAACAAAATTATTTTTTGCAGCGATGTTACAGTATTTACACATCAGCCTACAAATGGCTTAATACTTGTCTTTGGAATAAGAAAAAGTATTTTTTAACACTGCACAAAAAAACAAAAAAAAACACACACAAGCTCGAAATGCAACGCAGAGAGTGCATATCTAAACGATGCTGCTTTTACCTAGTGCCAAGCAAACCACATTTCTGACGGTTGTTGTATTGCTGATCTGTTCAGTGCAGCTCAGTTCTGCTCATTAGGCAGTTGTCCCTCACTACAGCAGCCAGACCCACTTCATACTGGCCTTGCTAGTTCATTAGGACACCGTTCGCTCTCTTGGCTCCCGGGGTAAAACACAAACAGTTCGCGGTCTGCCGCTCTGCGCCCTAATCCAGTCATGAGACTGGGCTCTTAAACACTATTGCGGCTAAGCCTGGCCATGTGTGCCTCCGACCTGAGGGACCCGGACCGCCAGCCTAGAGCTGTAATCTTTCCCTCGCTCTCTCCCTCGTTCTCACTCTCTCCTTCGTCCTCTACTCCGTTGCTATTTCTCCATGCCAGCGTTGCCTCCCTCTCTTCCTCTCTCCTGCCTCCTCTAATGGCATTCTTCAAGAGCTGGCCCCGCCGTGCCGCCCGCTCACAGTCTCTTAATTAAAATGCTCCCACTGCTCTGTTTATGTGACCGATGACTGTTAAATTAAGATGCTGTCACACTGGGACGCAACAGTACATTTATATTTATTTATATATTTATTTTTGCCAGGGCGAGTTCCGCCACGAGCGCTAGGCCTCGGGACTGCGAGCTGACATGTTTTCTTTGTCTGAGGTCGGAATTTACACCATTTAAAAATACACTCCACCTCATTACAGCACTGCCCTAAGGAGGCAAGCAGTCGGCACTGGCTAATAAGGTATGTGTTATACAGAGAGAGATTTTAATAGGGTTTAATGTATGCAGAGGCTACGCTAAAGTGACATTATACGTCTTGAACAATGCTTTCTGGGGGTGTGGGGGGCCATTGGTGCTAAATCTGCAAATATTGCATTTGCACCAAGCTTGTATTGAGCCTTCCTTGGCTTCAAAACCTCTGACAGTATCGACTCAGCCTGAGTGAGTGAGTGTGGGAGTTGAAACCAGAGAGAAAATGAGGATTGATTTCCTCAACAAAAAAAAAGAAAGAAGAAATATCCTGCTGAACGACATCTTGAAAATGAATATTGTAAAACCACCCTATCTATAATCACCATGAGTTAACATCATTACTCCCATACCACCCCCAGAAGTCTCCAGTGAGGAAACAAAAGCAATAAAAAGAAATTCTGATTCTGTCATCGTTTACTTATTCTCATGGCATTTCAAACCTGCATGACGTTCTTTCATTTGTGAAACACAACAGGTGATATTTTAACTGTTTTTGTCCATATAATAAAAGTTAATGAGATCCAAAACAATAGTGGACCCCACTGACTTTCATTGTATGGAGAATTATTTTTATTTTTTTTATATCCTTTTGTGTTCCACAGAAGAATGTGAGTCATACAGGTTTGGAACGACATGAGAAAATGTTTTTCGAATACAAACAAATGCTTTAAACTGTGCCGTACTTTGGGTTAAAAAAAAATCCTAAATCATGGTCAAGGATGATTCACTTGACTACACTTTACTACATATTTACCTATTTTATATACACTACTATTCAAAAGTTTGGGGTCAATAAGATTTTTTTAATTATTATTTTATACTTTCATTCAGCAAGGATGCATTAAAGTGATCAAAAGTGACATTTCTAATTATACAAAAGATTTTAAAAATAAATGCTAATGAATCTGAAGGTTCATATGAAAATTCAGTTTTGCCATTACAGGATTCTAAAATATATTCAAACAGACATCGATTTTATATTGTAATAATTTTGTCACAATATTACTGTATTTTTGGTTTAATACATGCAGCCTTGGTGACCATAAGAGACTGCTTTAAAAAAAACTTTACAAAAATCTTACCAACCCCAAACGTTTGAATGGTAGAATAAATGATGACAGAATTGTCATTTTTGGGTGAACTATCCCTTTAAGACCCACAGCAGCAGGAGAAACAAAAGCCTGTTCTGCGGGTCCCGTCTCGAGATTGGCTTTGTGTGGCATCTCTCTGGGGTTAATGTATGTTAATGTATCATTTATAAAGGTGCTTATTAGTGTGTTTTGCAGACTGCTGCTTTGTAAAACAATACCGAACCCTGCCGAGACGGTTAGTTAGAGGCGGGAGCAAGAGAGAGAGAGAGAAACACAGGGGCGGGCAGGCGTGCATTCAAAAGAGCCCCCGCCAGTAATAGGCCAGCCCTTGACGCGCTGCCACCTTCTCTACCTGCTGTCCCCCGCCGCTCTTTCCGGAAACTTGACGGCAGATGTTGCAGCGCTAAGCTGGCTCTGAAGTGCCTCTCTGGCTCCCCGGTCTCCCTAACAACACAGTCAAACCACATTAGATCTCTTTATTTGTGCCCCAGGCAAGTTCGGCAGTGCAGCTGTGTCCACCCTCCGCTCTACCTTTGGTGTTGGAGCCCCTCAGGCGGTAAATGGGAGAGCAGAAAGTGTTCAGGCTGTCTTGAAAAAACTACATCTGCTGACAATCCAGCAGTCTGTCTGTGGGTGGAGTGGGGGGAGGGACCGGGAGAGGTCTCAGAGCTGAACAGATGTCTGCGACAACCTGCTTCCTTACACCTGTATGAGTCCTCATAACCCCACGGATCCGGCGCTGAAAAATTCATGACCCCAGAGGGTTCCTGTCGGGCATCAAAGCCCCCCTCTCTCTAGCCGAGCGTACGCGGCCCACCTTGGCTCTGGCAAGGGACTCCTCGGGCTTTGATAGCTCATGCCTGCACCCAGTACACTTGATCAAGGGCTTGAAAGTCTGCACGATCGAGCTGTGGTCTGACTGAAGTGTGCCAGGGTCCCGCTTGGAGGCTCCAGACCCTCCTCTCACATGTATTGAGAGTTACAAAGGTTTTAACAGTTCGTTTGAAGAAAGTAAAACAGAACAAGTGGCTCAAGCGTGACTGGGATATTGTAGCTAATGGGAGCACTAGTGCCGCACATGCGGTGAGGGCTTCTTCAAGATGAAACAAACCCAAACAAATACTTCAAACTGTGCCCTACTTTAGGGAAAAAAAAAGTTAAATTGTAGTGTGCCCATTGTCAGCACGACTTGTTTACTTCAAGCCTGTTTACTTTAGTCTCACAACAGGATGATCCATTTGACTCAAGTTCACTTCATATTTAATATACACTACCGGTCAAAATTTTGGGGTTATTTAATGTTTTTATTCAGCAAAGACGCATTAAATTGATCAAAAGTGACAGTAAATACATTTATAATGCTGTATAAGATTTATATTTCAAATAAATGCTGTTCTTTTGAACTTTATATTTATCTAATAATCCTGAAAAAAATCTACAAAAATATTAAGCAGCACAACCCTTTTTAATATTGGTAATATTAACAAATGTTTTAGAATATATTAAAACAAAAAAACTGTTTTTATTGTAAGAATATTTTACAATATTTTACTGTTTGCTTGATTAAATCAATTTAGTTTTGATGATTTGACAATTAGAAAAACTTTGACGATTAGAAAATCGTCAAATTTTTTCTAATTGTCAAATCATCAAAACTACATTTATTTCATCAAGCAACTAATTTGACGATTAGAAAAAAAAATCGTAAAAGAAATCTTGGAGACCCCAAACTTTTCAATGGTAGTGTAATCTGTACAACGATAAAAATCAAGCGGCACATTCTGTTGCTAAATTTAAGGCCCTTAAATGTTTTTTTTGCACATTCATACGACTTGTTTGTACACACATATTAGTGCACTACAAAAGTTACAAAAGAGGAAGTGTCTGCAATACGAACTCATGACAGTCACATCCTGTTGCAAGAGTTTGCAGCTAAGGTTTGTGAAACTTGCACACATATTCACTGTAACACGCACACAAACACACACACGCATGCCCCTGAACTGTTACAACACACTGATACCCCGTTATGCTTCATTTGCAGCAACAGAATTATCTAGTTTGGTATAGTATGTAAGGGTGATGAATCATATTTGCAATCTGCACTGGGGTAAACCTTCTGCGGCTTACCTTATCTGTGGTAGTTGGGCGCATGAGTGAAACTCGGTCATACTGTCGCCGCAGAAGAGCCCACAGTGCCTCAAGTCGACCCTATGATGAAACAAAAATATCAAGATGTGGCCTCAGCTTGATTTCCTTTCCACTAATCTTTGGAGAGAAGAGATGGCCTCAATAGCAACAGGAAGTGACTCACCCTGATTGGAGTATACCACTTGGATTCAGATCGATGGTATGTGGGTGGGGGTGCGGGTGGCTTTTTGATCATGGGTTCCTCTGTCTCCTCTTGTATTGACACCACTGCATTCTTGGCCATCTCGAGCCGTGCACCCTCCTCTGTGGACCCTTTCTCTCCCCAACGGACCTACACAGAAATTTTTATTATATTATATTATATTATATTATATTATGTTATATTACATTACATTATATATTAAAATTAATTAAAACTATAAATAAAGATATATATAAAGACATGAAATAATTTATGACATAAAAGACATAATAAATTCATGCCTGTCCCTCATTGAAAAGCCTTAATTAAAACTGCACTCCTCAAGCTGTAGGTTAAAAAACACATCAATAGAACAGCTTTTCTACAGCATCCCAGGACGTCCCATTCTGCAACAACTCTCAATTAATAAAACATTCTCTGCATCCCATGTTTCCCTCTTTACATGTCAGGCTGTGTTTTAAGTAAAGAGGAAGTAGGCAGGTTGATCTTAGGCAAACCTCTTCCCCAGATCCTGAGATGGTTTTAGAAATGGAGATAGGTTGTCTGGATGAATGAAAGCTTTCGAAACATTAAAGAAAGTTGTGCTCCGGTAAGCCCTGAGCTTTACACACACATGGGAAAAGTTAAGATTTCAGAGGGAACCTTAGTGATGTCTCCTTTACTTTGGAGCTTGGAGAAAGGATGGCTGAGCGTGTATCAAACCAGCTTTGAGATGGATACAGTGCTAACTAAGTAGCACATTTCAGCTGAACAAAGTCGAATGACAGAATGGAAGTCAGCAAGATGAATTCATCTCGTCACAGCAGTTCTCAATCCTTCAGCGTCAACATGACTTAAGACAGCGGGACATCATGGAAGCTGAACTGGCAGGGCCCTGTCACGTCAAAACCATCAGTCAGGGGCTGTGCTACATTTAAGGGGATTTCTATCAGAAACTTTGAGTTGTGTTGAGCTTGACATCACAGACACAAAGGCTTTTAGACGGGCAAGAAGAGCAAGCGTTCTTTTGTGGATCAAAAGAAAACAATATGTTTTCTTTTCCAAGCTCACTTCATTAATCCTCCACCTGATTATTCAGGTCTGAACCAAAATGAAGAATATCTGACCCTTAGCAGTTAAGTATACTAATATTTGCATTTCATCTAAAGCAACACAAGTAGAACTACCATACCAAATGACTCCAGTGACTTTATCAAATGAACAATATAACCTAGAATTATGTTAATAAAGCAATATCACATGAGCTGGGGTGCTGTTGTACTGAACAAGAGTAAGTTATTTTGCAGTTCTGTAAACATTTTAATATCAGTTAATATCAAGTAACTTACATTTCAGATAAAATTTGACCTGCTAATAATTATTTTTTTGGGGGGTCTCACACCAATAAAAATATTTCCAAATGAAGTCAAAGTTTTGCATGTCACCAGGTAATGCACAGTTTAAATGCTACAAGTCAATTTAGGCAATTATAATGTCAATGTAACATTATCATGTACAATATAAAAACTAATATTTTTTACATATTCCTGTATCTTTGAGATTTATTAAAAATGTGTTATACAATTATTCTATTATAAAAGAATAACTTTAGGTAAGGGTTAGATGAAAGCAAAAAAAAAGTACAATTAAATATCCAATATCGACTGATACTGGCAAATCAAAAAATATAAACTCTAATGTCAACCGATAACCAATATGGTATCAATATATTGTGTATCCCTATGTGTGACCCCAATCAAAGCACCCCACTCCATGTCCACTCCAGATTTTCCATTTTCTGCTAAACTCTCACTCCAAAGAAAACCAGGATAGAAAAAGAAAGAAAGAGAAAGCCAAAGAAAACCAGGATAGTCCAACTTTCCAAAAACATTCTAGCTCCAGCCTCCAGGCAAAATTACACACCCCCACTTGAACTCTGCACAGCTCATTAACCGTTCAAAACTGTTGTATAAATTACAATTTTATGTTAGTCCTAGAATTATGAAAACTGTCAGAAAAAGAAACATGTTGCTGTAGCAATACGTGACTTAATAAGCATACAAAGCATTAATAATGTCAGACAGGTCATCAACACTCCCGAGAGAGAGAGTGGAGGTGGTGGACAACTGCTAAATGCTCAAAGACAGCTGTGATGACATCAAAACCTTTCCTGTCATCAGGGGGCTGCAAATCATTATAAGCATCATTAAAGTGTAATGTCTCGATGTTCACCTCCATGCGTTTGATTCCACCAGCTCCTCTTCCTCCATAATAAGATGCATCCACAGTTGGCCACTTTTTCTTGGGTATTGGTTCTGGCTCTGGCTTCTGAAAAAAAAAAATATGGACAGAAAATTGATCAATTTGATACTTCCAGCCTCAAAGAAAGCATTGCAATTACAGCAGATGTGTTACTTTTATATTTATGCACACTACCATTCAAAATTTTGGGGTCATTAAGATTTTAATTAGGATTTTAATATTTTAGGAATTATATTTTTGGAAAACATGATTCATTCCTGTGCTGCCAAAACTGGATTTTCTTATATCAGACTTTAGAGTCACATGATCCTTCAGAAATAATGCCAATATGCTGATTTGGTGCTCAAGAGACATATATTATTATTATTATCGATGCTTAAAACAGTTGTGCTGCTAATTATTTTTGTAAAAAACCTTGATACAATTTTTTCAAAACTCTTTTTATGAATAGCATTTATCTGAAACATTTATAGTAACATTAATGTCTTTACTGTCACTTTTGATCTATTTAATGCATCCTTGCTGAATAAAATTAGAATAAAAAATTAAAAATAAATCTTACCCCAAACTTTTGAAATGTTGACTATATTTTAGCATTTTAAAAATAATACCTTCGAAGGAACAGTAAATAAACCTTTTTGTAAGTTATACAAAAATTACATGTTTTTATATATATATATATATATATATATATATATACATATAGAGCCTGGCACCACCACAATTGATTACAGGGATCTGCTTGTAAACTAACCCTGTAGGCCCCTGGTGCAAAATAAAGCCCAAAAATCAACTTGTTGACAGGGGAGTCTTTGGGGTGAGCACAGTGGTCCGTTTACCTCGTAATTAATTGGACGAGATTCAACGCTCCCCTGTAATCCCCCAATCATAAAGTCCTGAGGAATTAATTAGCTGCAATTAAATGCAGAAGGGAAACTTGGGCTTCACTCCAGGCCGATCCCCAGTGCAAAGGAGAGGAGAGTTAACAGGATGAGATGTCTTCCTGTAGCACTTTCTCTGACTGCGTATCTGTCACGAGAAACACTACGCTGGATTCAGCAGGTGACTTCACTCACAGTCAAGACGTCTTCCTCACTGGAAATGTCGTCATATTAGTGATCGCTCAGCAAACTGCTTATCAACTGACCTGACACATCTAACCACTCTTCAACATGATGGATAAATGTGTTACTAGACAAAAGTTTGTTTGAATCCAATGTCATTTACCAGTCCCAGTCACTGAGGTGAAAAGGGCAAACTACTGTAATATAATTGCTACATATGTAATTCGAAAAGCTCAGCATAGATGACCCTTTGTAAGACTCCAACAATCTAGATAAAACGTCTTGGATGTGACCATGTTTCACCTGTCAACCATGTAACCCCTTCCATTGCAGATGCTTTCCAAAATGGAAGCAAGCCTTGTCTCATTAAACATGAAATATGGATACACTGCCATTGCAGGTTAAGCATTTACTAAATTTGTTTTCAGGGAAAAAAATGCCTTTTAATCATCACAGATCATGGGTAGAACAGCTGTTTCATTCACATTAAAGCGCACTGATACCATTTTGCCATTGTTACCATTATAATGATGGAAAATTATCAATTAGAGTTAATTAATTGCTCTTTGACTCACAACTGACTGCTGGAAAATCCAGTCCCATCCGTCCGTGGGGCCACAGCGTGTGATGATTAACATAACTTCGGAGAGAACCTTGTGGTAAAGGATTAGCTTTTTTTATTGAGTAATTAAACAGCAGATTTATATTTGCCAGGCATATTGTGGGATAAATAAGGCATTACACAAATGACACGCTGGGCTGTTAGGTTCTCAAACTACCTGACGGACAGATGTGGAGCCGGGACAACCCTTTAAATGTGGTTCGGACGATAAAGAGCTGATAATTAAATCCTAAAATGTCAGTGTACTTAGCCATCTGACACTCGCACGAGGGGCTAAAAACTAGTGGCACAGCTGTGGAATCGACCAATCACAGTCCAGCAGTGCAACGTGCCCATATGGCTTTCGGGATAATTATATCCAATTGGAGTTTATAATCTGTCCATTTCACCCCTCTGAACACATTGTTGTGTCACGCTGTTTCCCAGGCTTAACATGATCATGGACAAGTAGCAGGTAGCATATTTGCAAATTAAAATGGTGCATTACCATTAACATAAAATTAACCTGTTTGCAGTAAAACAACAAATAAATGACCTAAGATTGTGTTATCAAAACATAAATAAACATGTCTTTATCCAAATAAAATTACGCTTAATATTTAATTAAAAAAATAATTTATAAGTAAAATGTTTTTTTATTTATTTACATACATATATGGCACTTAATGTTTAGATAGACCACTGTAGTCAATTTAGTTTTTAGACTGACCCATTTCATGGCGCAAAAACACATACTTTCATACCTGACCCTCTACTTTCTTATGACCTTTCTAATTATTATTTGGTAAAATTTTGGAATTTCTGCAAAAAACGTGTTGCTGTGGCTGTGGATAGTAATTTGTGTGTTTCTGGGGATGAGGTGCTTCTGTATTTCTCTGATTGCTGAAAACTGGCAAGGCTGAGTTTAAATATTAACAAAGCACACATGGCCCTTCTCTTGTGCCGGGGTCCCTGATGGAGAGGAACAGCAGCTCCTCCACCAAGACAAACAGGGCCGAGTCCAGACATGCTGCGGGGGGTTTACATTTTAATGCCTTTGTTGGTTTTCCAAAATATGCTTCCATCTCATCCTGGAAAGGCTCCCGCCAGGTTCTCAAAGAGAGTTGGTGCATATCATTTTGTGGTGCAGTGACGCTGATTGCCATAGCGATACTCGCCAGCTCCCCGAATTCTAGATGTTTTGTAAGTGCACCATCTGTATACACAAGCACATCAGAGCCCGAGAAGCATAGCTGCTTTTTTATTTCAATTATTATTTTAAGTATAGGAGAGCTATACTATACACTTTGTTTGGTTAAAAACCCAAGCAACAGGAAAAGAGCTTCTTTTTTTTCGCACATGAAATACTTCTGTATTTTTGGCAGCTGGTCTGGTTGCATGTATCAGATGATTAGACAGGATGTGGACAGGTCTGTGTATTGTGCTTTGCCTTTTAAAAAAACACCAGAGCAGTATATTACAGCAATAGAGCTCCTACTACTAAATTCTTATCTTACTGTAAACGAATGATGTAAACTTCAAGAGAATTTACAGTTACAATACCATATAGGCAAATATAAATAATGAGAAATAAACATGTTAATGTTAATCTCAATACCAGTTCAATCTCAATATAGATTCTGTAGGTGAAAAGGGACAAAATTCACACTGGGATACTGAAAGACATGCGACACTTACAATGGTGCAGCAGAGAGGCCAGAACCACCACATCAGAGCCAAAGCCAACAGGAGAAAGAGCACCAAGAACACAATGGCCACCACTGTGCCGTCCGACTAATGAGAGAGGGAACATTTACAGTTAGCTTTAAAAAACAGGATAATAGCAAAATGTTATGAAAACAGAAAGAAACAAAGGAAATACTGCATCTAATATAAAATCAATCTAAATTCTGTTGTAAGTATATAAGCTGAAGAGACATTTTCGAAAATTCTGATCTCATGTTTGACTTACACATGTGGAGGCAGTGATGATGAAAGCACTGGAGATATACGATGTGCCATTGTTCAAACTGATCAGAACCTCCATTTGTCTGTAGGAAGAGAACGCATAATTGGACATTTTAATGTTTTTTTAATGTAATGGTAATTATACACTGCCTTGAATAACGTTTGAAAATAAGAATGACATAGTTATTCTTTAAGCACAATTGTATATTCTGCTTTACTTGCCGAGATTTTTCTGTAATATGTTTCTGTAATATGACGACAGTTACAATGGACCTTTTTCACATTTCCGGGTTTCTCAGCAGCGGAAGTCGTCATAGTTGGGTCAACTTGAAGAGCAGTGAATGGGAGAGTACCACAAATATATTTTTTGCATTCCCATTTGCTCAAATAGCAAAAGAAAAACTCCACGATAGTGTTTTCATGACTTTCAGTAAAAGGAAAAAAATTGAGAGAGACTGATAACGGCAGTCAGAAGAGAGAACGATGTCAAATTTACTGTCCCTCCCATAGACACTGCATTAGAAACACCCTCGCATTAGCGTTAACAGTTTTTTTGTAATTTGATGTAAAGGTGATATAATACAAAGAATAATGTTATAAATGTACATACATTTTTTTTTAAAAATACAAATATGAAAAACTTTCGAGGATTTACGATGCTGATGACCGTTAAACGCATCATCACAGTCTTGTGAAAAGGGTCCATTGAAATGGAGAAGCAACTATAGGGATGGGTCAATTTGGGAATTATTTAGAATATGATGTAATGTCTGATAAAATAAGTGTGTCATAATAGGGAGTGTTTTACAGATTAAATGGAAGAAAAGGGGAATTACTTTAAACTCATGTCGAAAGTAAACCAAAATAGGCAAAAAAGAGAAATAAAATTCTATATGAATTCCAAATTAAAACTAATAAACTAAATAAACTACAAATACATATAAAAATTTCAAAACAAGTGATGCTTACTGGTGTCATGAAGATTATTTGAAGTTTAATTCCTACAGAATTTGAGTTGAAATTCTCTCTTATTTACTGAGGAGGGAGTTGAAGGTGGCTTGCAATTAAGGCACTAATGATGAACGGCATTGTAATTTCCATATGTCTATTATGCAGGAGACAATTACCATGGGGCTAATGAGAATCCTCAAGCAGGAAATCGACTGACTGAACGCCTGAGATCCTTCCCAAAATGAGAGAATATGTAAAAAAGACAGACCACTGTCTGCAGAGTCAATGACGATGCTATAGAGACATTGCAGAATAAGAGTTATCTACAGCGAACAACAAAGATTTCACTAATGTTTGGGTCTTGCGCAAAGTATTACCAATGAGAACAGCAAGGTTACTTCACAAAAAACAATAGAAGAACTAACTTTTCCCATAACAGCCTAACCCACACTTTAAAATCTGTCACAGTACTGCACTGTAATGTAGTGTTTTGGTCTCTTGAGGGTTTTTACGTGATATTAGCTTGAATTGTCATAGCCTTTTGAAAATCTAGTCCTGAGGCTGCAGGAAGCTTGTAAAGGGTTTTTTGCATGTTAACTAGGTCCGTGTGCTGAATGGATGAGAGGAGAGGCTAATTCAGCTGACATACTCAATACATGCAAATGGGAGGCAGGTTGTTAATCAAGCTGGATATCTGTATGTTTGGTGAAGAGAGGAGAACCGATTCACTAAAGGATTGTATTTCCTTGCACTTGACTCTCTAAAATTCCTCAGATCACCTTTGTTCAGTCTTTGTTAGACACAAAGTAGTTCTGGAGGAATATTTATGTGATGCTCCGTGAGAACTGATTACATTTAATCAGTATTCTTGGACACACTGCAATTGGCAACAAACACCACAATCAATGAAGGCTGATTTATTTATCTTCAGAGGTACTCTGAAACCACAATGCCTGCCAGAATGTCCCATATCAAAAGAGGAAACTCTGTGGTAAACGCTAAAAGGCATTCCCAAAAGGTTTCCAATTACATTTATATTGAAATCAGGTGAATCCCATGCTAAACAAAGTTGCCTCATCTAATGGTTTGCTTTTGTCTAGAAATGCAGAGTAGAGGAATATGTGACAGAAGTTCAGCAGAATGAGTCAAGCACATGGACACAAAAGTGCTCTTGCAGTCACAGAAGGCCCCTCATAGCACCACAGTAGACTGAGAGTGGTGTGTGAGTTTGATTTCTTGTCACAAAGCACATGGTGACAGAAACTGAAAGTGACGTAGCTGAATGGGATGACACGGGTGTCACTAAGGGCATTATTGCATTATTGAAGACCTAACATATGCATAAGGCCTCACAGATTGCAACACAATGGCAAACAGGCCTGACTGAAGTTTGAGCAAAGTTAAATCTGTTAGATTCACTGCCAAGTAATGACATCACATTGTTTTGAAATGAGATGCTATTATTTTTTCATTTTATGTCTGAATTGTTTTTGTGCCCGGTTAAAGCTGCTCTGATTACAATAAATCAATTACACCTGATATCAGTTACATTAAAAAACATTGCCACCTTAAATAGTTTAAATTTGGTTAGCTACTTCTTGTTAGTAGCATGTAGCATTAACTATACTTTATAATTTTGGGGTCAGTTAGATTTTTTTTTTTTATTATTCAGCAAAGATGGATTAAATTGATCAAAAGCATCAGTAAAGACATTTATAATGTTACAAACGATTTCTATTTCAAATAAATGCTGCTCTTTTGAACTTTATATTAATTGAAGAATCATGAAAAAAGTATCTGTTTCCACAAAAATATTGATACTTAACAATAAGAAATGTGTCTTGAGAACCAAATCAGCATATTGGAATGATTTCTGAAGGATCATGTGTGACACTAAAGACTGGAGTAATGACTCCTGAAAATTCAGCTTAAAATGCATTAAATAGAGTTATTTTAAATTGTAATAATATTGAACAATTTTGCTGTATGTTTGATCAAATAAACAGCCTCAGTGAGCAGAGGCGTCTTTCAAAAACATTTATAAAATCTTACCAAACCCAACGGTTTGAACAGTAGTATAACTAACTACTTTCCCACAAGAATACGCTGACTGTAGTGTATTCAAGATCAAATTATGATTAACTTGTAGCTTGGCAAGCAGCTTTCCAGCATTGGTGAAAACATCCAATATGACATAACCTGATAAGAAAACATCAAACTTTCATTCAAAAATAAATAAACCATTCAGCACGTCATTGCCTTTCATTTTAGAAAGAGTGACCATCATTTTATCATCTAGCAGAGTGAGAGGAGGAGCTCTGGTGGAGGCAGCGCTGCCATGTTATCTGGGCGCATCTCCCACCCCCTGTGCAGATGGAACTAAAATGGCGGCCTGACAGATCAGATTGATTATTGATGAGGCACGTTCCACCACTCGTGCTGCAGGCAGGTGTCAGGTCTGTCCCTCAGTTATTTTTCTCACTCCGTTGTTGTTGTGAAAACGCAGGTGAGGACGTGCTGCTGCCAGACAAAAGTTCCTCACCCCCTCCAGCCAAAGACTCAAAGGGACGGGGCCGGCTGACAGATGCCCTAGATCCTGGTCTGACGAACCAACAGCTGTCGTTGCAGATGAGACCCTGATATCTGGCGCTACGTCACTGAACCACAAAGACCCTTTAAATCCCAAAAAGACACTATTTGATATTCCCTAGTGGTCTGCTCTTTAGGGATTGTTCAGGACAACTCATATACAGCATGTTTGCATATATGATAGAAATTACTTGTTTTCTAGGTGGCATATCCTAGATATGCTTCCAAACAAAAACAGGCTGTTTTCTGAGTGCAAACTGGACAGATGGGTAGAAAACGGACAGAGATGGTAGGAAAAAGACTGAGAGAGACATTTCTAGCACTCAACGATGTTGCAGGTGTTATGTGGTAGCCTATTGTCAGTATGCGGTGAATTATTTAAATGGGAGCGTGGAAAAGGGAATCGGTGCATCTGTCGCACATCCTTTTAAAGCCCTCCACCAGATGTGTTTACTAGCCGTTCATAGCAGCAAACTACTTAATGGGTCACAGTTGCCAGCCAAGAGTTAATTAAGCAAGCCGTTTGAATGGCGACCACGAATAGTGGATCAAATGTCCCGGTTAAGTCAGACCATCATTTCACCCAAGCTGCTCACAGCTAATCCCTGATCTAAACAGGGTGCTGCGTCTCTCGGTTATTTCAATAACGTAATGCTGTAACATGACATTTGAGGCCAGTGTATCACACAATATCTTAATGGGTCACAATTGCGTAATAGGCTGTAACAGTCACGATACACAAGATACTCTGCTTTCTGTACATATGGAGATCTCAGTGACACTTGCTGCATTATGAAACATGAATACTCACTGTCCCACTGAATACAGAACTGGAGCAGGACACAGGACATAGTCATTCTTCACCTTGGTTGGCTTCACCTCTGCAAAATGAACAGAAAGTTGATTGTGTTATGATCCCCAGCCAAACAAGCTGGAGAGCAAATTCCCCCCAAGATGAGTACCGCCAGGCCATTTATTATGATGTAGAGGCTCACTAGAACTGCTGACGTGTGCTCGGGAAGAGTTTAGGGAAGAGTGCCATTTTTTTTTCATCTCATCTTGAAAATGATTTCTTTGTCGCACCACTGCTGAAGGCACCCAGAATTCAGCATTTATGTATTTCCTGTCTGGTTACAAAAGCAGCGCGCAAACAAGTGGATGCCATATGTGGATCTGTCATCTAATGATACTGCACTCATAAAGGAAACACCATACAGTCTGTAAGGGACAGAACTAGAGAGCTGACTGCAGTGGCTATATAGCATGTGGCTGCTTATGGAAAACTATACATGTATGACTTTTATACACAGTTAAATCATACCAAACCTATTTGACTTTATTTATTATGTGAAACACAAATGAAGATGCGTTGAAAAATATCCATGCAATGAAAGTGTCCAGACAATGAAAGTCAAGTGTGGTTTAGGAGCCCCTTGGCTTTAACAGTATGAACCACAGAGACATTTTTCAAAATATTTTTCATTGTGTTCCACATAAAAAAAGAATTCAGTCATACAGGTTTGGAACAACATGAGAGTGAGTAAATTTTCATTTCTGGGTGAAATTTCTCTTAAAAAATTAGTTTTCAGTCTTTTTGATAAAGTATATTATATAAAACCATAATACATTAATAGAAACAATGTGTTAATGTAACTAAATGAATAGTTATTTTCAGCAAATTAAGTCAGACTATATGTTTAAGTTTATTGAAAGAATAATAATTATATTAATTTAGTCATCCTGCAGCCCTCCTTGAAGTTTCTCGGTGGGCCCCGCCATCACTGCTTAAAATCTTTGTTCATGTAGTTCAGCATCTTATTCTGTCGTTAGTAACCTAATGTGACTGTTAAGCCACAAAAAACTTGCATCTTAGGTGCGTTGCATCCTGGGCGTGGCCTGCTTGTCACTTCCTGTCTGACACAACTGACTTTCAGACACAAAACCTCTCTTAAATCATTTGGTTTGTGAAGTAGCATATCAAATAAGGTTGAGGTCAGTATATGCAGTATAACCATACTTACTGTAAATAACTCCATCCACTACGAAACTGCAGAGCACTCCTTCTGTTTGCCTCCCCAGTGTGAACCCGTTCCCTCTCAAAACAATGTCAAAAGTCTCTGAGGTATGTAAAACAGATGAGGACATAATGAGAAGCACTCCTGGGCGTTCACCCAAATCAACGACCACATACACGCACACACACACAAAAACACAATTGCATCCACCCTGACAGCTGTAAAAGCCCTTGAAATGCTTACCGTTCACGCAGACGCTGGACGGCTCCACTGTTAGAATCTCCGTGCATGATTGCTTGAGGATCTGTATTATGAAAAATAAAAAATGTATTCAAATCATTACTTGTCACTGCTGAATCACTGTATCAGCGATCACAGTGTCCGGGTCTTTAGCATTCATGCTGGGGATGTTTGCTATGCCAAATCAAGCTCAATGAGACAAGCATCACATACAGTGCGGTGTGGGATAGACCCGTGTCAGCCGTTATGGGGAAATTATGCGGTGCCATTTTCCCTCTTCAGCTCTATTAGAGACCGCAGGCTGACATTATCATATAAACAGGCCTGTGAGAGGCCACCATCGCTTCTCCCATCATCCACATAAATCAACAGAGGACAAACTATGCAAATCTCTGTACACAACGGGCAAAAAGACAACATTAACAGAAAGATATGGTCCTCCAAATCGCCTGCAGTGGAGATGAGGCTTCAGACTGAAGTGGAGGACACGTATAACACAGGCTGATTGAATATGACACCTGATAAACTCTGCTATCATTAAAGGGGAGAAGGAACACCGACTGAACGTCAAGGCTGAAAGATACTCAGGATGGTCTTTATGGCTCTTTAATGAGTTATGAGATGGCACGATACAAGGGAGGTTCATCGCAAGACGTTTCAACTTATTCTCTCTGACAGGTATCTATACACACATAGGAATAGACTTGAAGCATTAGAGCAGCCATCTATCTATAATTAGAACACAGATCTTTAGAATACTCAAATCCGACTGGTTAATCATGACATTCGTGCAGTAACACAAATTCTCAGTGGAACTGAGATCATGGATTTGACCTTTTTTAAGCTTTTTTTCCCCCTTGGCCTTGTGTTTGGATCACCATCCTGCTGAAAGTGTTTTCAGCTGCAGTCAGATTTAAATAGCATTTAGCAATAGCAACCTATGGTTTTCTCCAGTATTGTGCTCTGATATTCTTCTGATTAATAACGGCTCCACAGCATGATATTGCCATGACTTCACAATATGCTGTACATGAGGTGTCAGCGCTGTAAGAGTTAGCACTACAAGTACTGCTTTTGATTTTGGCTCAAAATATTCTTGACCTCATCATCTGTCCACAAAATCCTTCCCTTTCACATCACAACTGGGTCAATATTTATGTTTATACTCAGAAACCCGTGTTTACACTTAGATCTTTCTGACTATGTAAGCAAGGTCCATTCCCTCCAGTACAGGTCTATGTTTTGTGGAGTTATATACACTAATGCATCCCTGTTGAATAAAAGTATTAATTTCTAAAAAATAGTAATAATAATAACAATGACCCCAAATATTTGAACGGTAGTGCAAATATTTAAATGAAGCCACAAAAAAAATTAAAAAAATTTAAAAAACTTTCTCTGCCATCAATCAAAACATTCTTGGAATATTTAATTAGGCCTGGATAAATCTATTCTTTAGGCTTTTGCTTTTTGCAAAATCTCTGTTAAGTCTACTTTAGGCCCGGACTGCAAAGCTGCACAGATGATCTCAAATCCTGGAAATCTGAGCAGAGAGCAACATGAGGCCAACTAGCCCAGCCTCCAAGATTACTAATCACTGGAGAATGCCTGTGTTTTGCTGGGCCTGAAACTCCATTTGGCCAAACAAGCTTACTCAGTAACAAGATGATTGGTCTTTTTTTCATATCTCTTTTCTGGACAAAACAATAAATTACAAGGAGGTCCTGTCTTTTGTCTCGCATGACTAAACCTGAAAAATATCCCAGAAATTGATTCCTGTGGTCACAAAACAACACACCCGTATACAAAAACACTGACATCAGCTGGTGATGGTTTACTGATGGCAGATGATGTTCAGTGTTCGTACCATGTTTACAATGTTAAACCGTATCGTTGGTAAATGCCATGCACATAAAGCAGCAAACATGCACTGAAAAATACTTGCTGAAGAACATTTCAAAGCATCATGAAGCCACAGAAGAGGAGCAGCGCCAGATGTCCAATATCAAGTCACAAAGTTAGTCCGGTGCGTAGATCCAAAAATAACATGAAGGCAGCAGAAAAAACAATCCGCACATGGTCAAATGCAGGGCAAAACCTCCTCAAAAAATCTTCATTATAATGCTTAATCAGAGGCCGTAAAAAAGTGCAAAGTGCAAAACATTTTCGAGACAAAAGCTCTTCCTCAGTGCCAAATGGGTAGGACGAAACTGCTTTGGCAAGTTCATACAAACATAATGTTTCACAAAAAACAACTACAATTTACAACCAAGAGCTTTCAAAAGCTATATTTTATAAAATTGCTTTACAAAACAGCCTTTTGGGAAACTTTGCTGTAGTTAAATAACAAATCTGGATTGTTTTAGCATCAAGCATCTGTCTGAACCCAGTTTGTTAATTGCAAAAATACGTCCATTTTCAAAGATCACAGGAAATATTCCCAAAAAGGGCTGTATACGCTAGTTCAGTTGGGGTGATGTGCTTGGTGTCGTTTCTCTCAGCATTCTTCCCTTGAGTAAAGCATTTAACCCCTTTTTGCTCCACTCCAGGGGGTTGTTCACATAAGAAGTCTACTGTAAGTCGCTTTGAAGAAATTGTCAGCTAAATGACTACTTAATAGTTAAAAGAATGGATCTGTCTTTTAGTTGACTAGAGGCCTCTATCACACCTTTAGGGATGGGTGTCCCTGGCATGGGGAACTTACCGAGTTAACAATGCCTTTGAGAGCTTGAAAGCCTCCTTTGACTGGGAACACTTGCTCTCTGGTATCAGCCACATCGGCGAGCTGTTGGCAGGCAAACAGAGAGATAATAATAACAGGGTTGATAGCCAAGCAAGAAAAAAAAATGTGCTGACATTTCCTCTCCTTTAACTCAGTTTGTCATCGCTACAGAAACAGGAAGAGAGCAGCAGTCCTGTAATTACAAGCAACTCTGCAAAACCCCTGCACTTGGTGAAGCTTTAGAGAGATTTTTAAGTGTTAATCACACGTTTTCTGTGTAGCATTCGCAATATTTAAAAATCTGCTGGAATGCCAGTATTACCTGTTCTTCATCAAAGTCCTTTACGCCGACACAGTACACGCGGGCCCCATTCATCCTTGCTAAATCAGCCTATATACACAACAAAGAGTCATAACAACGCAGTTGTTAAATTAAGAAAAATATGTATGATTTTAGATACCAGCTCACCTCATCCTTAGTGAGTTGATGGATATATGGTTCAAGCTTTCCATCAGTCAAAGCCACAATGATGCTAGAGGACTTTTTTAGCTGTTCTTTCATTTGTTCAGTTGCCTGGAAAGAGAAAGGGAGTGATAGTTGTGCGAGTAGAAACATATCTATTTTCTCAAAAACTGCAGGGATGTATAAAAATGTAAATATAAACACATATACACATATTTAAATTTTCTATCATTGTTTCAAAGACACAGAACTCATCTTGAGGCCAGATTCAGGTCACTGAATGTGATGTGTTTACTTAGAAAGATGTAATTATACCTTATCTTGGTCATGAGGGGAACCAAACAGTTTACCATGTTTTATTTTGTTTATTTCAGTACAAGACTAAAGTCCAGGAAATACAGTCAGTCGAGTATATTTACACTCCTGTTTCTGCACAAAATTTAAGTTTTTTTAATATATAAATACATTTTTCCATTCCACTGTTTATCATAAAAAATATGTTATTTACCTTTTTAATTCCTTCATGCATGTAGGTTTCTCCTGCTGGTTTGACTGCATTTAAATCCCTCAGTCCTTTATTTATTTTTGCCCTGGTCATGTAAAGCAAGGAATATTTGAATCAGTGTACATGGAAGAAATATTCTACTAAATGTTATGCTCACAATAAGATGTAATGGTAATATAAGTGTCATGTAAAACCATCTACATATGAATGAAACCTTCGCACCATAAATATTTACTCCTCTTTAATGTACTGTACAACACAAACACATGGTGTATTACTATCTTTCTTACACTAGAGACTGCAAACACTTCATGCAAGCCTGATTCCGTACCTGTCTCCAGTGAGCTCTAACACAATCTCTGCTTTCGATGAAAACACTATGAAGGACACTCGCATATTTGGACTGGAATGAAAAAATGGGAAAAATGGAAAAACGCTGTAAATGAATGACAAGTGGAAAATCAAGCCCTGCTACAAATTCTAGTTGGACACATGTTTTTTAACAACAGCAAAAGGCTCTTCAGAAGAGACTTGATTTTATACTTTATTAAAAAAGCCAAATACAAGCATTGCTGCAAATGATGCGGAGATGTCCTGTGATGTAGAAGGTCTAGCTGTCCTCATGCTCCTTTCGCAACCATAAGAGTTGGTTCATGCGTAAGATAGCCAGTGTGATCAGCTAATAAAAGCTTGTGACTGGGAAAAAAACCCCTTCTGCCTGGACCAAGGAAGTGATTAATTGATATGCAGACAGGAAACAAGTTGTCATGTGTGATTCATGCAGACATCCTGTTGGTGATTATATTTATACCTGTCACTTCCTATATATATTCCTCATATCTTTTGCAATAAGAGAAGGACAAACAAGCAGCCACACAACTTTTCTGCATAACAGTGATGCAATACGTGCATTTGGACATATGTCAAGTTTAAAAAGAAGCACAATGACATTAAAACTGGTATATTTCACTGTTCAAGCTATCCAGTGTTTAGTTTAAAAGTTTTAGTAATTTTGTTATGTTTTATATATAATTTTCATTTAGCTTCAATTTTTTTCTTTTCAGTTTTAGCCTTAGTAATAATTTTAGTACTTCAACAAACATTTTATTTCAGTTACTTGCCCATGCAACATTTCTAGTTCTAGTTAAAAATTTTCAGCTAACATTTATTTCAGTTTTATTCCAATTAACTGAAACCATTTTTAACAGTTTTAACTGAAATGCTATCATGCATTTACAAAACCAGGGATTTTATTTCCTAATGATATTGGAACAGCATTCTTTTCTCAGAAAGAACTGACACATAATCTGACAACAAATATATAGCTGATTATGACAAGTACATTTCAATGAAGCAGTTGGTCTTTTTCGCAACCTTCTGTCACAAAAGCTGACACAGCATAGGAACATGTTGGGTTCCTCTACACATTTTAAGTCAGGTCTCAGGACTGAGCATAAGGAGAGGTGCTGCTTTTTCTCACTCATGACATCCAATCCACAACCATCCCCCACATGAGATACTCAGTGAGAATATCCAAATGTATCCAAGCAGCCAAATTTTGGTAACAAAAATCAGATGAAGAGGCAAGGGAACTGAACATTTCGCAGGCTGATTAAGTGATAAATGCAACAATGACTCGCCAAATGGTATTACGATACCCTGCGTGAACAAAAAATTGTCCTGAAAAGGAAATGACCTTGAATGTTCCTGCATATATAAAGAATACAGATGTACTATAACCTACTTGTATCGTCTTTCAGCTTGGTCCCATATTACACCATCAGATAATACAGGAACCCCTTACACAGCTCTTCAAGGTAATTCCTAAATGATATATGCATACAGCAGGTCCATTCGATGCTTAAAAAAGCACCCTAAACAGAGCCAATGCAGACCACATGGCACAACAGAAGACCATCAAAGTCTATGGCAGACTGCACTGGTCTTCCTGCACTCATGACTTAAAGTACATTGGCTGCGTCTTCTCCTTTCATGTGTGAGGGATAAGTGTGCTGTTGGATGGTTGCAGTGCAAATGGCCATTCTCACAGCCCAGAAGACTGAGCCTCCTTGCCACCCACTCCCACCTGCTCCCTTTGCTATTTTCTCAAGCAGACTGCTTTCTTCTGGCTAGGTCGCTACCGTCTGTACTGGCACATACATTGAGTCAACGTTACATAAGTTCACATTCATCTGGCGATTTTTTTATATACATTTTGGTATATAAAAAATATATAATCCCCCACCCCCACCCCCACCCCTGTAGGGCCATGTCAGAACCGGATGTGTAGCTGCTGTGTAGCCAAGTTAGCATTCAGCTTTGATTCAAGTGACAGATTACTTTCTTTGATGTGGTGAATTGGGAGATACATTCAGAATTGTACAAGCAACTTGTCAGGAAGCATAAAGCTAGAATATTTACCTCACAAATTTCTCTGTAAGATTTTTGACGAAATCATAGATCTGATTCCAGTCGGTCGAAACACTCCCAGATCTGTAAGGAAGCACATGAAAAACAAAGTCAGCACTAAAGAAAAACCAGCTTGAGGCAATTATATTTAAACCCTTAAGTGAAATGTCCCCATCTGGTTATTGTAAGAGTTGTGCTGTTGATTACTTTGTGGCAAACAAGCTGCTGAGTCAGTTACACTTCAGGGTTAACATGGTCTCAGTGAAATGATGTCTATCTATAATGGGCTAAGGACAGACCTTGTGCTATATAACAACAACATACAGTATGAGTCAAGGCACTTCATTATAACTACTGACCACTTCAATTCCCAGTAACACTCAGTCCTTAAACCATTGCATCATTCCAACACCAAACATCAAACTAGCGGGTCAGTGGTGGATGCCCAGTTTATACACAACAGCAAATGAGACAGACAAACTGCGCCAAAAACATGATATATAAATTACTGTTGATTAAAAATAAAAATTTACTGTAAAAAAAATGGTAGTATTGTGAAATACGATTATAATTGAAAAGGAATGTTTTTCGATTGCACTATATTTTACAATTTATTCCTGTGATGGAAAATCTGAATTTTCAGCAGCCATTATTCCAGTCTTCAGTGTCACAGAAATCCTTCAGAAATCATTCCGTTTAATATTTTTGGGGAATTCTCAGAAGAAAAGAAGAGTACAAGAGAACAGAATTTACTTGAAATAGTCAACCCTTGTGACATTTTAATTTTATTTTCTGTCACCCTCTATCTATTTAATGCTTCATTTTTGAATAAATTCATTTCTTTTGTATAAAAATCTCACTGACGCCAAACTTTTGAATAGCAGTGTAATTCCAGAACAGAACATTTTATTGCCCATTAACAAGACTGTTGGTAGATAACAAAAGTGGCACATATTAACTGGCCAGGCTAACATCATTATTAAGCAATGCTGATAATCTCTAAATTGTCAAATATCAGCCTATTAATTAGCCTGTCTGAATAAAACAAATCATTTTTACATTTTAAGATTTTTAGCAGATAAACAAGATGAAAACATCCAACAAAGCATAAAATGTATTGTCATTTTCTTGAACAGAAAGAAAACTATAAGCATTTACAATTATTCTGTGGGTTTATATGAGCTATTATGTCAATTTATTGTTCTTATTGGCTCTTATTACAAGGATGCTAACACTTCTGTTTGGTATAGTGTTCAAATCATGTTAAACTGGCAAGTAATGGGACAGGTAAGAGAACACACAATTTTTGCCAAGCTAGACTCTAAAGCCAAAAAGGTCTATAGCAAATACAAAGAACACCACACAAATCAACATCAAATGAAGCTGTGGTATAATAAATGCCTAGCCAGAATGCAACTGTATACATACATAATGCGATGATTTCATAATCATTTTGATTTTTATTCCATTATTGCAAAATATGTACACAACACAATCCATTAATCAATTCAAGTGGAAGTGGACTTCTGCGACATTAACCTCAATGCAACGCAGTGTCTTTAATGAGAAAAGTGTATAAAATGTGCCCTTGATGTAATAGCTACAAGGTAATTGAACTAATAATTATAGTCCACTGCATGTGCTGAGAACATAAAACACAAGCGATAGGTAATTAGAAAATCATTTTTTATGCATTGTCTTCTTCCTTGTCTCAAGCCAAGGTCACAGAATCTAGATAAGCGTTAGTGGGACCATCAGAGAACATCAAATCACATCCGGTAAGAGAAACGGTCTGGGCCAGTGAAGGGAAGTTTGATTTCCGACGATTGAGGCCGGATCTGCTGGTCTTGACCAGTCATTATGCATGGCTGAGTCTGTGCTGCTCTAAGATCTTCAAAAAGAGGAAAGAGCATATCTGTGCCATCATCCTGTAATATTCCCAGACAGGATGGAGGACTGCACTGAGGCCAACAAAAGATTCTCAAAGGAGTGCAAGTTAATATGAAACATTACACATGCAGATGAAAGACAGACAGTTAAATAGATGTATATACAGATATGTAGACAGAAAAGACTTGAACTTGTGTACATCAATTAGATATACAGAAAGAGGATAGATAGATAGATAGATACCCTACTTCTGCAATCACCAATCTCCCTGTACAAAACTGCTTGTGTCTCAAGTCTCAAAAGGCTTTTATTTCAGCTAAGTGTCTTGTTGTGTGGCTTCTGAAAGTGTCTGGCACAGATGTAAAATCAGGTCAAACTGCAGAATAGCTGACAGTTATTGGACGCTATTCACCCCTAACCTACAAACACGAGTTTGGTGTGATGTAAAAGACATACAGAACTATAAACAGTAACTCTCTGCGTTATATATATAGACATATGTTGTCTTGATTACTTTTAATTCAGAGGAACATCAAAACTTGCGAGTACTTACCGGTCCAAAACAAAGTAAAGGTCGTATGCTCCGTGACAAGAAGAGGTTTCTGCTTTAAAAGTTGAAAAACATAAACAAAAGAAAAGCGTCACCGTGGTCGCCACGGTCCAGAGAGTTTTCTTTGTCATGACGACGAGTTTTGCATCCGCGGTATAAAATAACAAAAGTGGACCTAAAACCAACTTGAATGGCGTTTTCTTATATGAAGTGGCATAAAAGCAAAGTCAAGTTCAAAACAACGGCGCTGTGTCCCCCGGTCTGGCGCAACATGATCCAATTTATAGCGTTGCAGAAAAGTTCAACATCTTCCTGTGAAACATAGGATATGCAACGTCACTACATCTGATTTCTTCACTTATCCGTTTTACGACACCCCTAAAACAAACAGACCGGTGTCGGTTTTTGCGCTTGATGACAAGAAAAAGAGAAGTTGTTTGAAAAGTTCTTTGCGAGTTTGTGTACTTCACCCAGTTTTTGGTGCGCATGCGCTTCCGCCCAGATGTGCAACAGGGTTTTGAGGTCAAAATGCCGTTTGGCTCGCGCACACGCACCCAGCAGCTGCGATCCTTTAACAGGATGTGTGTTTGAATAGGACTATAAAAGAAACAGTGCTTCTTTTTTTCTGTGGGATCCCATAATACTGAGAATTCTATTTGGTAAGGTTAACAGTGACTGCATTTTGATAGCAGACTGTAAACTGACAAGCCCTGTACTCCTGTATGTGGCAAGATATGGCCTTGAGTCATGTTTTGTGTGATCTGCGTGGGGAATTTTTTTTATGTGCGTTAAATAAGCCATGAAGGTAATATATTAACACCAAGCTGTACTGGGCAATACTAGAAAGCACGCGATTATAGCGATTATTTATACACAGACAATTCAGTGAATCATTAAGTGATATTGTGGTTGTAAAAAACCAAGCAGAGATAAACTGGTTACGTTTAGTTTCTACTGAAACACAAGCCCTGGCCTAAAACCACTTCTTGTTTAAGAAACTTGAAAGTTATTTTCTTCACAGCATGATATGTGCCTTTGATTTACATAGGCCTATTTATGTTTTTATATATTTTTAATTTATTAATCAAGTTTCTCTAAGTGTCATTTTATTATTAAAATGGTGTTTGACTAAGATAGAAGATCCAAAGAAAAGTCTCTAGGTCAGAAACGTGTATTATTATGAATATTATATTAATAATATTTTTTTTCTCCAGCATATAGGGGTGTTTCTTTTTCTTTATTATTATTATTGTTGTTGTTGTTTCTTTGGATTAGCTGTCTGTTTGTGTATTTAATGCAGAACAACTGATAAATAATTAAATGTAAATATAATAATAATAGTGTTTCTGAGAACTTTTATTTGGGGGTTTGTTATCGGGACAGAGAATTGTTTCATTAGTCTGCTTTTCCATTGTACCATGACGCGACACATTTAATTAAGTTCCATTCACATTTTTTAATTGCTATAATTACCAGCATCAATGCAAATACATTTTTGTTTTGCATTTCCTTTGATTACAACTTTTGAAAACTAATGTAATGTAATAATGGAGTTACGCTAAATGCAATATATATAATATCATGCCTTGAGTAGCAGAAACCATCATAAGCCACCATGAATTTTTAATAAGGCTGAATCAAACACAGTCAAATATTCATAATTAGCTTGGATTATACCGATAATTGTCATATATCCAGATGATGGATCTGAAGTGGTATGGTAGTGTAAACACTGTTTGTGTTTGACATGCTTGATTATGGTGATGTACTGAAGATTTCATCGGAATGTTGGAAGTTCTATTCCGGTGGTTTGTCATGGACATTTTAATGGTAAGAATAATTGGAAATGACAGGGAAAACAATTCAACTAATTGTGAAATGCATTGAGGTGTTCAAACTCATTATCAGAGGAGTCCATAACAAAAAACAAAGGTATCCATAATTTCAGGCAACATTTTCTTCGCTCTTAAAACAGTAAACAACAGCCAAAAACAATAGGTATAAAAATTCACACAGGCAAAGAAACATCTTTTTGGTATCAAACTCCTTGTTTCTATGCTGTTACTTGAAGATAATGTTTAGTAATATCTAGAATGTTAAGCGTGTTATACCTTTAAATAACCAGGTATCTGGGGCAACTTGTACTGATGGGGCTTTTTTTCCTGCTTTAAAATCTTTGTATAATTACTTTGTACTTTTTTTTTTTTTTTTTTTGACAGCACTCCATATGTTGACCAGCCCAGCAGGAAGTCCTGGTGCTCCCTATGGCCAGTCCATCCCTAGAATGGGATATCCTGTTGGATATGCTGCGGACAGACCTCCATCAGCGTCATTCATTTCGTCAGTACCTCAGATTATCCTGCACAGAGCGCGGCTAACACTCAGCTAAGTCTGACCAGCACGTCTCCTCTCATCTTTTCTGTGCACCCTGAAAAGAGGGATGAATTGTGGCTGAATGGAGTTAATTGTTGCCATGGTTGGGCCTGTCATCTTAATGAGAGGATTCTGCAGAGTGCCTGCTCGTCCTTCCTCTTCTACGTGGAGCAGGCGTCCGTGAACGTGCCCGAGTAGGACTGAACAGGGGAAAATCAAAGCAGACAGGCTGGGTTCATGAGGACTGACCTGTAAAAAAGACTCAATCAGAGCAGGTAAAAGATGTCGGAAGAGGAGAATGTTCGGACGTGCATGACAAGAGCGAGATACCACAGCACATCCTGATCTGGCTATGCCATTTTTTTGCTTTACGCTGTTAAAAGGCTGGATAAATTGCAATGTCAAATAAAATATTTATATAACAGGGAAGTCGAGGTGTCACATACACTACTGTTCAATGGAGTTAGAGTTTAAGTTTTCATGTCTCACCAAGACTTGATTTATTTGGTCAAAAATATAGTTAAATACAGTAAATAACTTTTTTCAAGTTTTATATATTTTAAAATGTAATTTATTCCAGTCATGTTGAATTTTCAGCAACCATCACTCCAGCTAATTTCTCATTATTATCAATGTCGAAAACCCGGAAACCTTTTTTCAAGATTCTTTGATGAACAGAAAGTTCAAAAGAACTTTAGCATTTATTTGGAATATAATTATTATATAAACATTATAAATGTCTTTACTGTCAATTTATGAATTCTTTCTGAAGAAAAAAAAAGTTTTTTTCATAAATTTCAGGTTGGGGCAAGTTGTATCATATGCTTTTATAATTTATAACTATACTATACACTACTATTAACTATGATATTTATTGGCCAATTCTTTTTTTACATTCATTTTTTATTTTTATACGTAATTTCAATTTGATACTTGTTTTGATAAATGTAAGTAATAAATTGCAACCTAAACAAAAACTGATTTTCACAAGTAAACCTTGCGAGTAGTCACTAGAATAGAACAACTAGCCCACGTCTCCTCTTCATAAATATAAATATATATATATATATATACACAGTATAATATAATATAATATAATATAATTGCTCTTTACAGAGTTGCACAAATCCATTCCAGCTCTTATCAAATAATTTGGTGAACCACTCCAGCACTAGATCTGTCACCCCTCTGCTCTGCCCAGAGAACAGCAGTTGAAAGGAGTCAGAGAACAAGCAAATTAAAATCTGTCTCTCAGCACAATTTGAATATGTAATTTCCTCTCTCTCTGTCTCTCTCTTTGTTTACTCTCTTGACAAGCAGCCTGTGCTGACAGCTTTGTCCATCAAATGACACCTGCTTTCTCCTGATTGTTTGTTCAACTTCCTGTCCAGAGCTCTGTAGATAAATGTCAGTGTTGTACTCCAGCTATCTTTACTTCTTTCATCTCCATCACATCACAAAATGTCTTATAGGCACTAGTAGATAAACAAAAGGAATAAACATGAATATTGTGGCAAAGGTGTAAGGCATTTATTTCCCTCACAAGGCGCTTGAATATAATTTGTGTGCTTGAAAATATATAGCACGCACGATAAGCAGATGCGGATGCCCAATCAATAAACAACAAATAAAACCCAATTAATAATACAGCTTCAGTCAATAAGTCATGACTGTGAGAACTCTCTTATTCACACATAAACGGTTGTAATATCTAGAAAAATCCCTTTGGGGAAACACACTTAGCTTGCAAAGAAACAAGTTCAAAACTGACTAGCTGACGTAATACAAAACAAACAGCCATCTCTTACATGCTCCAGTTACATTTGCCCTGAGCACTTTTCCACATTCTGAAATGTATAGTGCTGTCATGTCTTTGCAATCAGTTGTGTTAAAAGTTATTTTATTGAAGCCTCATTTGTGTGCATATACAGTACAACAATGTGGTGTTCTGTGCTATCAGTTCAAATAATAAAACTATCAAGCTTCCTCGGTACAGTGCACGTAATATTATATGAGATACTCTTGTCATTAATTCAACTAATTTATTTGTCAGTTCATTAACCCTAAAACAGGCAACGTGTACCACGAGATACATATTCTTTAGTCTCTTGTAGGAGACACGAGGAAGAATTTTTCATCCAATACTGTTATCATTATCATAATTGAGGTTGTTTGGAGTATGGGGGTCACATCGCTTGGTTCAAATTTTCTGTGCTCGTTTTGTCAGTTTGACTTGACCTAAAGCCAACATGTCCGCCCATGGAGCTGGACATTCAGAAAATGTAGAAAGTAGGCATATATTAATCTTACTTTTTTCAGCAAAAAAATGCAATACAACTATTAGTATTAATTGTGAACATTGTCTTGAGATGTTGTTCGTGTTGATTTTTTATCGCATTTTGAAATATGCGTATCTCCTGAGACACGTTGCCTGATTAGGGTATAAAAAAAAAATCGCATCAAGGAGAGCAGATCCCCCTCAGTAGAAATCGCATTCCAGGGTCAGGGTCAGGGTCAGGGTCAGGGTCAGCCCCCCGTACACAGTCCCCTTTCTATTTATTTTGAGTTAAAAAACTGTGCAAATGTTAATATTTGCATGTAAAACGGATAATATTACATTTAGTTGACTACATCTTTGCTTTTTTAACTAGATTTTTCTCTTGCAGGGTTTCACACAGCTCATTTTATGGTAGAACAGGAGTGTCCAACCCTGCTCCTAGAGGGCCACCATCCTGCAGCGTTTAGCTTCAACCCTGATCAAACACATCTGAAAAATCTGACAAAAGTCTTCAGGATTACATAAAAAAAATATATTTTTGGGTACATAAATTACATTATATGATTGTTTAGGGATTGTGCTAAACCGTGCAGGACAGTGGACCTCAAGGGTTGGAATTGCCCACCCCTGCGGATAAAGATGAGACAGATAAAAAATGTAAAAATACAAAAAATGTCTATGCCTCAATTTTAGGACACTTAGACATGTCATACATGCAGCATATTTTGAATATTCCATATTTGTTTGCATCAAATACATCATAGAATTATTGATGTTTTTTATACCCTAAACAGGCAATGTATCCTGGGAGATACAACTCATAAAATCCAAAATGTATCAAATATTACAAAACTTCTTTTGAATATGTTTTACTTAAGTCCAGATGATATAAAAAGTGACATGAAATGATTTTTTTGCTGATCATTTTCCACTCTTGCCTGTTTTAGGGTTAAGGGATCTAAACTTTGATATATAGTACACACACAAATGCATAATATACCATTTAAAAAATCCAGTACCACAAACTGGAAAAGAAATTCCTCCTTTAAATGCAATTACTAAGGTGGTCACACATGAGTTCACGTGTTGGCGAAATATCTCCTTAATAAATATGACAAGCTTGCCACCACGCATCTCCTCTGAACTCCTTGAGGTTTCTACCGCAATGTGACAAAGTCTTCAGACAGCAAGAGCCTGCGCAAGTTCCTCTCACTGTCAGCTTGCCTTGACAGCTGCCATTTTCAGTGGCCCAGCGTTGCTCCCACCGCCTGCACAATCACGCTCCACGTTTGTTATTTTTTCCACCTCATCCTTCTCAGGAGTGCAGAACAGAGATTAGAAAAACAGCAGCGTCACTTCCGATTAGTGGAAACTCGAAGGAGACTTTCTGAAAGCCGCATCTAACTTTATGACATGGTTGAGAAAGTACATTTTGTGTAGTGCATGTTGGGACCTCCCAGTCGGATTACATGGAAGGGTTTCTTTATCTTCATTTAAGCTCATCTCTCTTGAGGATTTGCATGTTTTGCTTTATGCTTATAGATATTAAGAAATAAAGAGACAAACCAACTGTTCTGCTTTCATTTAGCACACCAAGACAACCTGAGTGTGATTCTGAACTAGCATGAGCAACACATCACCTGCCATTATGGCTCGATGTGAGGTTCTCTTATTCATTGGAGAGTGCTGTCTGCCATGTCAGTGCACATCGCAGATGATTATATCAGTCATTTCAGCCAAGCAGAATACAAATGGCCAAAACAAGGCAGTCACAGCTGCAATGGTCACTCTTCTAGTACATCCTGTGGTGTCTGGATTGACATCCCGCATTGCACATTTTCAGACAGATGGACATGCACACCTTTTTGTTTTTCCTTTTTTTGAGATGCCAATGAGATACTGGATGTATTTGTATGTGCAAACAACCTAGTATGCTCCATCAATGCACCAGGCATCAGTGACACAAACAACTGTTACCTTGCCAGATGTGCCTGTAGAAACATGAGGATGAGGAAACAACTGCTTTTTTTGAGCATCAAACGATGCAATTTACTATATAACGCTTTAGAAACCTGTCAAGAACATAAATATTTGAGTAACTGCCTTGTTTTAGTGGTTTACAAATCTAGCAGTTTCTGATCATTTATTCCTGTAATGTCAAAGCTGAATTTTCAAAGCTTCAGTGTGTCACATGATCCTTCAGAAATCATACTGCTGTTGGGCAGTTTGACCAAAAAACTGTATCACAGTTTGTTTTAAGAATTCTGCCAGTTTCACGTTTATAACAGCTTGATAAAACATCTGCACGAAACAAAAAAATCAGACGGGCTGCATGAGAATGCGTGTTCACTCTCTTACAGCAGGTGGCACTCATGGAACAGCGGACGATAGAACATTTCCTTGGTTACCGCTGTAAACAAAGCAGTGCTACACTTTTAAATACTACATTAATATGCATCATATGGAGTTAAGATAAAAAATTAATACCATCTAAACTTTTCTGAAGATTTCAGTACTCTTTGCATTCGTCTTCAGTGTCTCTGGCTTCTGTTATATGGCAATTTACAGCTGGTTATTTGCCCAGTTAAAGAATTAGTTGTGTTATTAATAGTTCTCTAAGCATTAATCAGAAGTGTGTGCAGTTAACAGGGATCTCCTCTCAATTCATGACACTGTTTACGTTGCTTAGCCATTTGTTCTGATATGCCGGTTTTTTAAAATTCATACCGTGTGCGTAATTTAAACCGGTTTACTGTTTTAACATGGCCCAGCACTAAATCATTATAATATTTGGTACTCAAGAAAATTTGTTTTTTATTATTATCATGAAAACAGCTGTGGAATGGTGATACGCATTTTTGTGGTAACCATGGTGAATAAAAAGTTTAAAACTGCAGAATTTATTTCAAATCTGGCTTCCTTCATATCCTCATATTAGTCATCCTTTGTTTAAATATAAGAACAAGCCAGA